GTGTGTGTGTGTGTGTGTGTGTGTGTGTGTGTTTGTGTAAGTGTGTGTGTGTATGTGTGTATGTGTGTGTGTGTGAGTGTGTGTATGTGTGTGTGCGTGCGTGTGTGTCTACTACTACTACTACTACTACTACTACTACTACTGAGTGAAATGTTTTCATCTCCCACCTGTACAACGTAGGATCTATCTCTGCTTTATAATTCACTTGTAGTAGTAGTAGTAGTAGTAGTAGTAGTAGTAGTAGTAGTAGTAGTAGTAGTAGTAGTAGTAGTAGTAGTAGTAGTAGTACAACTCGCTTTTGCATTCCGGTAAAACTTCAAACCACCAGGGATGTATCATAAATACATGCGGGTGCTAAACAAAGGCGCTTACCATTAACATATTGACGAGATCGTTCACTGTCTTAGATGTGTGTTCATGCACTGTGGGAAGGAAGGAGGACAGTAATTTAAGGACAGAACGTGTCTTCCAGAAGGGCGAATCGCCGGTCCCGGAGAGAGATTTGAACCCGCGACCTAACAGGAGCAAGTCTTACAATTAGTCATCGCACGAATCAACATCATCAAGTCTCCTTTGCCTGCTGAGATCATGGTTAAGAACAGTAAAGAGCAGAGAGATTTTGTATTGAACATTTCCTCTCCACCAACTCATTTCGCAAGTTTCGCACAAGGTACAGAAATAATGTTAAAGTGCCTTTTAAACCTTCTTTGATGTCAAGGTGGAATTGGTTCATCAGTTAGAACCTGTAGAGAATCAGAAGTAAAATTTCTCAAACAAAACGACTACTTCAGGTCAAACACACACCGTTCGCACCCCTTTAAACGGCATCAGGGTGCAGAATTCAGTAGATGAGCCCCATGAGACGTCTGTCCGTAGACGATGTCTGCAGCAATGACTTTCCTCCATCTCAACGGTCCTCATTCTCAAGGCAGATCTTCATCTACGACTGTACCATTTTCCTGTTTGCAAAGCTATCAGAGGATAGCAATGTGTTCATGATTCCTCGATCGTCTTGAAAAGCATGAACATTTCCTCTGTGACATTTGGTTACATGGTAAAGCCCATATTCACATTTCCGGTTATATCAACTCCACAAATTAATGCTGTCTATTTGGGCAAATTCACCCCCCCCCCCT